GTAGGTGAGGAGATCTTGAGGTCGTGAAGGTAGGAGAGAGCACGAGTGACGTCGAGAAGGACGGTAAATATTATGTGCTAATGCCAACGATGGCTAGCGATGCAAAGCTTCAAGTTTCCCCAGATCATACATCATAGGGGCTTTCCTTCTCTCCCACTCTTCTCCTCCTCGTTCATCCCTCCTCCTCTTCTCCTTCCTCTCTCACCATTCTGCCCCCCTTCTCTCTGGATCTTCCCTCTATAATCGTCTTCCCCTCCTGCTCCTGTCTCCCTCCCCCCTCAATCGTCCTCTTTCTCCTCCTCTCCCTCTCCTTCCTCCTCGTCCTCTCCCCCCCCCGCCCCCTTCTCTTCCCCCCTCTCCTCCTCGTTCCTCACCCAGACGCAAGCTCCATCACGAGACATTCGCATCCCCGATCGACGCACACGGCGATCAGCCCAACAACATTGGGGTGGTGCAGGCGCTTCCAGCAGGCGAACCTGCTGGAAACTCAGCAGGGTGAAGAGAGCATTCGTTCCTCGCTCCTCCCTTCCTCCTCCTCCTCCTCCTGCGGTTCTTCCTCCTCCTCCCCACTCCTCCTCCCTTCCTTGCCCGCATCTTCTCTGCCTCTCTTACTGCTTCTTCAGCCTTGCCGCTGTCCTCTGCTTGTAGCGCTTGAGTACGCCCTTGACCCCCAGGACCTGAGGAAAGTGAGAGGAGGAGGAGGCATGCGGGAGACTTACTGTGCACAGAAAGACGTCCATATCCTGATGAAGAAGAAGAGGAGAAGAAGGGCAAGGTTGATAGAAGATTGTGGAGGAGGCGAGCAGATCCAAAAGGAGGAGGAGCGGAGAGGGGAGGAGAGGGGAGTAGAGGAGAGGAGAGGGGAGGAGAGGAGAGGAGAGGAGAGGAGAGGAGAGGAGACGAGACGAGACGAGACGAGACGAGACGAGAGGAGAGGGGAGAAAGATAGAGAAAAGAGAGAAGGAAGTTGGAACGAAAGTGAAGATGAGGGGGAGAAAGCGATAATGCAGGAAAAGGAGAGAGGGAGAAGAGGGAGGAGAGGGAGGAGAGGGAGGAGCAAGTCAGCATAAGAAGAACGTGCAGGATTTTCACTTCACCTCATCGTTGTTGAGGCATTCGAGGATGCAGAGGTCAGAGGAGGAGACAAGACCTTGAGGAGGGGAGAGGACGGGGGAGGACTTGGGACGGAGGTTGAGATTCCGAGGGAGCCGAGAGGACGTAAGGGAGAGGAATCGGTTCATCCCATTGCCGACCCTCGTAGATCCTGACCTCTCCTCCAACTTCACTTCCTCCTCCTCCTCCTCCTCCTCCTCTCCTCCTCCCTGATGCAAGGGCACGTCTTCGATGCTCAGTTCGAAGAATTTCTCCGCCATCATCCCCTGCCCGACATTCTCTTTCGTCGACTTCCCTCCCTCCTCCTTCTCGTTCATCAGCAGCTTCCTCTGTCCACACGTCAACCTCCTACCGGTGCTCTCCTCTCCCTCTCACCTTGCCAAAGACTCTCTCTCTCCTCTTCTTCTCCGCCTCTTTCCGCAGGCTCTCCTCCCTTCTCCTCCTGCAATGATAGCAAGCAAGCTGCTTGTACCTGATTCACATTTACACGCTCCTCTCCTCTCCTCTTCTCTCCTCACTCCAAAACATCCCAGTCACTCTCGCGCGCACAGTTGCCTGAAAAACAACTCAGAAGTCCCTTCCTCCTTCCTCCTTCCTCCTTCCTCCTTCCTCCTTCCTCCTCCTTCCCCCCCTTCGGCCTCACAGCATTTCTTGATCCCGTAGAGTGGCCATTGCTCGACTTTGGCTCTGATCGGAATCTGTTAAGCACAGAGAGAGGTACCCGTGTCAACCACTGCAAGCAACAGTCGACCTGAAGGGCTGGAAGTTGCCGGGGCTCCTCTTCATGATGGTACGATGATAGTGCTCGAAGTCACCTGCATGGAGGGCATGACAAGAGCTGTAGAGAAAGGAGAAGTTTCTTCACCCCAGTCGCACTTGTTCGCATCAGGGGTGGAGAATTCTCCCTCGATGCCGCAGTCTTGGCAGACCCACATATCCTGTTGGGATCTGCATAAGGAAGGAAGCAGCAGGCAACGCAATCTCGAATTATGTCCTTCATCCTGTCTCCCCTCTCTTCTCTCCTCTCCTCTCTCCTCTCCCCTCTCTCCTCTCTCCTCTCTCCTCTCTCCTCTCTCCTCTCTCCTCTCTCCTCTCTCCTCTCCTCTCTCCTCTCCTCTCCTCTCTCCTCTCCTCTCCTCTCCTCTCCTCTACATACCGTTGCTGCTCCGGTCAATTTCAGCAAGTGGCGACGCGAATGTTGGTAGACCAGAACTCCTCCACTCGAGCCCGGAGCGGGCCCGGCAATTTGACAACCGTTATACGTAACGGCGGTGGCTCTTGAGCGCGGGATGGCGGTAGCGAGCAGCTGCTGCGAGGCGGCAAGCGAGAAGTGAGAGGAGAGGAAGAGGAAGAAGAGGAGAGGAGGAGAGGAGGAGCAGAGGAGAGGAAGAAGAGGAAGAAGAGGAGCCGGAGTGGAGGTTGAGCAGGAGGAGCAGGAGGAGGCATCGAGGGGGCCCTCAGACTCACGATGAACTCGCCCCTGCTGCTCTGCTTGCTGTCGGCTGCAGCTCTATCGGGGGTGGAGGCAGTGTTCTGGGATGGCGGTTTACTTGAGAATGTGATCGGGACAACGATCAACAACTGCTCAGCGCGAACGCCGCCTAACAACACAGTCTTCCCTGTCAACTGCACATTCTTCAACGAGACGAACAAGGATGTGGTATGCTCGTCTGTTTCTTTCTCGGTGGTCTGGTCGAACGATGGGCCAGGTCAGATCGCGTTCACCACTCTCTCACCTGACTACTTCGCGGTCACAAGCTGCGAGCTCCCCGATGGGAGTACACCTGATTCATGCGGGATGAACTACCAGCAGAAATGTGCGGAGAGTGACAAGTACTGGCTGACCAAGGCAACGAGCCCGTTGTGCGGGCAGCGAATTTGCAACAATGTGACCTCGAGTTGTACATGCAACAACGCTCAGTATCTATGCACCTGCTACAACTGGAAGAGATACACTGTGAAACCGGTCAGGTTCCTCCCCATCGATTCCACGATACTCTGCTTCACCACTACATCCAGGACGGGGGTGACGGACAAGCGATGTGTTTTCTTCGACATCATGGTCCAACCGTACAAGCTGACCGTGTCCAATGTGAACGATCCAAACAACGTGCAGAAGCAAGTGAATGCTTACATCGGGGAACAACTGGACCTCACCGTCTTCGCACAAGATGTGAACACTGAACAGTCGCTCTCTATAAGGCTGCAACCTTCAGTCTCGGTGTATCAACCATCCGCTGAGCTTCCCAATCAGCAATGGCTTTCAGCTACTACTATGTGTGTGGATTCGAACAATGTTTTGGCAAGCACAGGGCAACCTTGCAAAAACGGGTTATGGTTTAGGAAACTAACCTACAGTCCAAGACTATCGGAGATCGGGATGCAGTACTCCCTGTACTTTGAGGCATCAGACGATGGGTTTGCTGCAAGACAATTCGACAAGTACGTGGGTTTGTCCTCTCTTAGCGGAACAACTTGCGGAAAATCGGTATGAAACCTCAGTCGGTCGTAGCGATAGTTATTGACGGACGGACTATGCAGAGTGGGTATTGTTCATTGACACCAGCAATCTTCAGCCCGAAAGTTTTCACTGTCAGAGTCTCTGTGAGCTAGCCTTTCTTATCAAGAACCTTTTAGCTGAACTTCGTCTCTCTACAGGTTTCGCTTCAGTCCCCGCAGTTCATCTCGGGAATCGGCTTCTTCGGCACTCCGATCGATGGGACGACGGTATATCCTCACCTCAGTCTTCGATGCTGTTGCTAACTGCTAGCAAAAGCTTCCCTTCACATACCCCAACTGCCCGATGCGGCCAGTAGACATCATGATCTGGAAGCCCAACAGCCAGCTGCGTTTGTACCTTGTCAGTGAATGAGAAAATTCGAGCTCTTTTCCCTGATGAAAGGATTTGCAGACATTCGGCGAAGGGCTGTTGGACATTTCAAGATATGCCTTGTATGCTCAGATGACTGCAAGCTGCTCTTTGGATCAGATCAACGGAGACTTCTCGTATTCTTGTCAGGTCTGAAAATCTTGTCTTGGATCCTTCGATCGGTTGACCTGGGCTGCCTCCAGCAATACTCGTCGACCCGACCAGCTCTAGGAGAGCTTCATCGAATGACCCTCCAATGGACTCCTCCCATGGTTGCGCAAGGACGAAACTTCACGTGCGTTGATCGATGACCTTGCGCTCTCTATGATTGTTGGTGGCGATCTTATCTGAATGTCTCAGCATCTGTGCTATCGCGGAGGATAATGCTCCTTCTCAGAACAAGACTTGCTTCCATGTATGTCCATTGATATCTTGATTTGGTTTCCCGCTGCTGAAAAGTTCTGCAGATTGTTGTTCAAAGGTGTATGTATTGCACCAATCCCACTCGACCCGAATCCCTCTTCGACATTGCGACTCGATATAGAACCAATTGGCTTCAGGTACTCGGCCTCCATCGCTGTCTCGACCTAACAGCTTGTTGTAGTTGTGGCTTGCCAATGATCCCTACTGGATTGAAAAGGTGAGCCTCCGCGGCCCATGTCGCAGTCCAGCCTGATCGGTTGTGCAGGAGCAAGCGAGTTTGACCGACTCGGGGGTCACGGCATGGGACGGAAGGAGTAGCCCTGACGCCATTCCTACCAAAACTTTGATTCGACTGGGGCCTGTGTTCGTGACGAGGTACAGCTGCTTCCTTGATGCGTCCCGAGCTTGCCTGACCTTGAGGGTGACAGGGACAATCACACTATTGGTGAATTGGCCGCCCGGTTCCGAACCACGTCATGGTGATCAACGCCGCCTCTCCCGCCTTCCAGCTGACTCGTTGCAGGGCAATTCTTGAGCTCAACCCGGATCTTGAGATGTCTATGGTGAGCCCTGACCCTGCGCTCCTGACTCGCAACGCCTGACTGCCCGGCAGCTCGACGACACGATTCCCAAGGAGAGTGAGCTTTGTTTATTACCTGGCATCTGTACACCTGCGGAGTAGTATATTGATAACAAGTATGTAAATCGCCAAAACAACTGACAACCTCGTGACCTTGACACCCGGCCCTAGCTGGACTCTCATCTAGTGGCTGATGCCTGATGGTAAAGACCCGGGGGGACGTACTTGATGTCCTTGCACCAGAACCTGCACACGGCCGTCAGGTCTGCCAGCACAGCCACCTTCTTCACTGACTCAGCTCCCATCGGAGCGATCACGCCCTGGTCAGTCTGAGCCTCGCATCCCACCAGGTGCTCCACCATGGCGCTGGGGCTGCCCGTCAGTACATGAGGCATCCAAGTTCACTCAGGAACCTTATCAGCTCCGTACAGGATTGCACCGTGACCTCTTCGTATGTGGCAGGATTTCTCCCGTAGATCTGCCGGGTGTTGAGAAGCGCTGAGATGGGGGTAATGTTACCTGATGCCCATTCGCGTTGATTTCAGCAGCACGCTCCACGAAGATGGTGGCCGGGAAGCTGATGTCTGTCGCTCAGTACAGGCAAGAGCTCAGGTGCAACCATCTTGCTCACTTCGTCGTGCACTCTGCCCTTGACTCATCCCTCACTCCGTTCACGAAGCAGTTCTGCCATAGCCCATCACCCCAACCACAGGACGAGAGCCTCCCGGACTCACAGCTGGAATGTCATGCACTCCTTCTATCGTGCTCTTGATGGTCGCAACTCTCTCTGAGAACGTGCTTGCCTGCGTCTCGCACCCTTGGATCGTGTACCTGCGTTCCCCGTCAACCTCCTCTACTCCTTTCCCTCCGACCCCCCTCACCATCCAGGGCAGAGACTTTTTCCTGCCCCGACCCCTGAAGCATCAGCGTCAGAGGATCTCAGCAATGGGAGCGACTCAGATCGCAGTCTCACCTGAGTCCAAGTAGAAGCGCGAGGACATGCAACTCCATTGCTGGGTAGGTACCAGCTCTCCGCTTACTTCCCTTACTGCACCAACAACCACCAGGTGAGATGCTGAGTACGTTGCCTCGTCGTTGCCTCCTTCACCTTTCTGCACAGAGACGGTGCAAGACTGGCAAGGATTCTGATTCTTGTACCATCCACAACTGCAGGACATCCAGTACATGTTAGGAGTCTCTTCACCATCGCTGGCTGGATAAGGTCAGTGGGCAGTGTTGCTCGCACCTCCAGGTCTCGAGGTCGTTGGCGCTCAGTGACCCATCCTCCTGACAGACCCACTGGACAGTAGCCGAAGATGCTTCGGCCACTTTCATCTCCATCACTGCAACCATCGCTATCGCCGCGCCCAGGAGCGGAAGCCATCCCTTGTGCCCGGCCATGGCGTATCGGCAGGTCCGTCCGTTCAATCTCGATAGGCTATCTAGAACAGAATCTAGAACAAATGGAATCTAGAAGAATAGCCTATCATTGTGTCTAGATGGAATCTCAGTACTGTAGATCGGACGATCGGACTTGAATTGAGCCGGGAGTCGGGCCGACAGTGGGATCTAGCACAGATGGGATCTAATCAGTCAGATGCCGAGAGTCTAGAACAGATGCCGAGAGTCTAGAACAGATGCCGAGAGCCGAGAATCTAGAACATTCGGAACAGATGCCCAAATACGTCCGGCTGGGCCGTAGCCATGATCGGACAAGTTCCCGGCTTGGAGTCAAGATCAACGGTCCAATTGTTGATTGTTGAGTGGCACCGTCGGCGGTGCTGTCCGATCGGCCCCCCCGCCCCGGGCCCCAGCCTGCCGCGCCGCACTCCGGCAGACTCGGATCGGACGGTCACCGGCCATTAAATTCACCGTGCGGCAGTGCGGCCCCAGTCACCCGAGCACTCCGAACCCGGATCGGACCGGGCCCGCCGCGCGGACGGTCTGGACCCGGAGTCACGTCATAGGCCGGCCCGGGCCCTGGCTCCAGCTACTGTGGGGTCGGGGACCCCCGGCCGCATAGCGGCGGCCAGGAGCTAGGGAATGGGTATGTGAGGGTAGGGTGACTCGCATTTTACTAGGGTGATCCCGAGGAGAAGGGACGTAGAAGAATACAATCAGGTGGGTGGTATCCTTAGGAGAAGGGGGGTTGCAATTGACTGCAGTGGGGTACGTATACCACCGGTTGTGTCTTGAGGCGTAGTTGAGATATGCAAAGGTTACTCTGATTATTTGGTGGAGGGGTGGGGGTAACCTGGTGGTAGACCGGGTAGTATGACAGTGATCGGATAGTATTCGCATGGTAGACCACTACCGGTGGGTATTTTTAAAATATTGTAAAGAATGATGGTACCCTCAGGGAATAAGGGTGAATGGGGAGTGATAGGGAGGGGTGGTGAAGGGGGGGGGAGGTCAGGTGGAGTGGTAACAATAGGTAACAATTCAAAAAAGATCCGTTTCAGGGAGGACGCCGGTAGTAACCCGTTCACTTTCAAAGTCGATGATTTTTCCAAGATTTGAGAATTGTGTATCATATTCAATAAATTTCAGTACAACAGTTTACGATTACATACCAAATACCAACAAAAAGTTTCAACTTGTGTTGATGATCACCCCCACCCCCCACCCCCACCCCCACCGCATCACACCTACTCCTTACCCTACCCACTTCCCTCACGTGAGATCACCCGAATTTGAAGCCAGCGGCTACTCCTGATCTCCTTTTGCTCCCTACCCCATCCTTCTTCCCTCCCTCTCTCCCTCCCCCTCTCCCTCTCCTCCTACAGGGCTGGGATCAAGTCTGTGACAGGATCATCCAGAGGTTCTTGTCTGCTTCCTCCTGTTGGGTTGTTTGCTTTCCGCGTCAGGAGAGTGAGAGAGAGTACGACCTTCATTCAACCCTGTAGATTCATTTTGTTCCGCGTCGAACCATTGAAAACAAACAGATCACTGAGACACGATGCAGCAAATGCTTGCTCCCGCTAATCCAACGTACATGATACAGCCTCGTTCTGAGTATGCGGTCAACAGCCAACCTTACTTCAACCAGCCAAATCCTTATCCTCTTTCCTATGGTCAGCAGCAGCAGCAGCAGCAGCAGCAGCAGCAGCAGCAGCAGATTCCTGTGCAGTACATGATGACTAGTTACCCTCAACCAAGTTCTCGTCAATACTACGTGCAAAATATCCAGCAGCAGCAACCGAACCAGTTCAACATGCAAATGCCTCAGCAGTCATTGCAAGGACAGATGCCTCCCATGGCGCCTCAGCAAATGAATCAGCAGCAATATCAGCAATACCCGACCCAGTACGTCTATCGGCAGCAAGCTGGTGTACAGCCGCCTGTCCAATACTCGAGACCCATGGCAGCTCCAGGGGTTCAGGAGCAGCGGCTCCAGACGCCCGAGCCCATGGACTATCCATACAATGGGTACCAGCCTTCCAACAGCTATTCCATGTCGTCGCCTCAGATCAAGATGATGGATGCTGTTGATGCGGTGCGAGTCCCGTGAACCCACGCCAAGGTTCCTGACTTTGCTGCAGCAGCAGAAAGGACGTCCCAAGGTGGATGCAAGAGCGTTCGACCTGCGCACTGTGAAAGGAGATGGAAGGTGTATGTTCCGCTCCATAGCAAGGTGATTGATGCCTCCAAGGAAGAGATGCGACTCGGTGACTCGAAGGACTTGCAGGTCTATCGCACACTTCCACAGCAACAGTCTGTCTGAGAAGGAGGAGGAGAGAGAAGCAGACTCTCTCAGGGCCCTTGCGCACCAGGTGAGACTGCTGCTGCTGCTGGTTGGGGCTCGAGGACTCAACTTGCTGTCAGGTCATCAGCAAGGACAAACGAAACTTCTTTGAGAACTCAGGGGCGATCGAGGGTGACTTCAAGACCTACCTGAAGCGAATGAAGGATCCCTCCTTCTACGGAGGCGAGCCCGAGCTTCTCGCCCTCAGCGATGGCATGGAGGTGCCCATCAAAGTCTACATGTATGAGCCGGTGAGGGATAATGGCAGTTGTTGAAAGTTCGTCAGTGACCTGAGATACAGGGATTCTTTTATCCGATCGCAGAATATGGTTCGCAGTATACAGGGAAGCATGCGATTCATTTGCTGTACAATGGCAGCAACCACTATGATGCGCTGATCCAGAGGAATTCTCTTGTAACCATGTAAACTATACTTGTTGAATAGATAAACAACACAAGGGATAACTTGTTTAATGAATCAAATAGTTAAGTCGGGATAAGTACTGGAATACTTTGCCTTTGACTTGTTCGCCGTCACTTCTCGTTGATTTGCTTCAAAGTTAATCTCACCGCTACGTAGTCATAGACCGCGTGTGCTATGATAGGAACCAACAGGTTTCCGTTACTCTGAATGAGAACAACTCCGAAGAAGATCGATCCAATGAAGCTGAGCAGGAAGTAAGTCGGGGTGAGGAAGTGAGCGGCTCCAAAGGCCACCTGCAGCAATCTGTTTCTTGATGTGCAGAATAGACAAGAGTCGTACCGATGTCAGGGAGATTGCTGGAATCAGTCCGGCACTCTCAGCCAGTTTCTGCTGCAGGACGCCTCGGAAGAGGAGTTCCTCCCCGAACCCGGCGCAGATGCAGAACAAGATGAGCTGGTAGTCAGGCCGTCCTGAGAAGAGCTTGCGAGCAAACGCCTCGGTCAGAGCTTGAATTTCCTTGATTGGCTCCAAATCCAAAGTTTGCAGTAGGCTTGACATAGCCAGGAGGGGGAGGGACCAGGCAAACCCAAGGCCTGATCGGGGGGAAGATGGTCAGAGCACTCAGAACAGTAGAGGAGAGAAGATGTACCTATGCTGGAGAGAGAGGTGTCAAATCCTTTCGACAAGTCCAAGCTGAGCAACCAGGCGAATATGCTGAAAAGAGAAGTGAGCAGATAGAGGTTTGTAGGGTGAAGACTTCCTACAATGAGACAAGCCCAAGAGAAAGCTCAAAGATTGCCCCTGAGCAACATCTGTCACAATGGATGCAGGTAGAGAGATGAAATACCAGAGAAAAAAACTTGATTTTGCTCTTTCTGACAAAAAGCAAGTCACCAGATTGTATGTCTGACTCTGCCAGCAAGCAAACCTCCGACAAAGATACGTTGTACAAACCCGCAAGTCGTTCATCGCCTTTGCACCCGACATTAACAAGTCACACGTCTAGACTCTAAATCTTCTTTCACCTCTTGGTTTGGCGGCCTCGGCCTCTAACTCTACTCCCTCGTCCTTGGCGCTCTGGAAACGCTGAAGTCCTGCATGCCGCAGCTGCGATCTCGATCAGGCGCTTCCAGGGATGAGCCTCTCCTCACCTGGAAGAAAGTGTGGAGGCTGGAGAGAGATTCCGAGCTCTTGGTGTAAAGATCCCAAGATTGCGACGGCATGGGCAACCGTTGACGATAAGAGCTGATCCGCCGGCAATGAGGCCTCACAAGAGTAGGCTTTCCTGGAGTGAAGTAGGCGAAGCCTTGAATGCATGGAATACACAGCGCGAAGATCAATCCTAGAGTGTGGTGGCATATTACTTTGAAGGCGATAAGGATCTCTCTCTTCATACCTGCTGCCCCACGCTTCATTCCCGCTACAAGTGTGTCACTTTACTCCCTTTTGGAGCGTCAAACTTGTCGCTCCGAGCTCGAAGCAATCCTTGAAAACTGTTCCTGAATCAATGTGCTGCATCAGAGGTCATTCAATATCAATGTCTGCAGTTGGATTCAGCGCTCGCATCGCCGATAGCATGGAATTCGAAAATTGCAGGAACAGACAATCAACAAAGGAGTCCCAACCTCTCATCCTCTCGTTCTCTTGCTCATCATCTTGCTTCTCCTCCCTTCGTCCCATCTTGCCCCCCTCTCCTCTCCCCTTCCTCCTCTCCCTCCCTCCTCCTCTTCCTTCATTCCAACATGTTTCCTCGCACCTGGAGCTTTCGCTTCAAGCCATTCACAGGTCGTAAGAAACAGGGGTACACAGTTTGAAAATAACATGGAGGGTGGGGGTACTTTGGGGAGATGAGTAGGTGGGGGTAGTCTAGGACAAAGGGGTGGGATGGACTTGTTGAAGGGAATGCAGGGGGAGGACAAAAGGGATGGGAAAGGGAGGGGAGGGGAGAGGAAGAGGAGGAAGAGGGTTGAGAGGTAGCACACGAGAGCAGATGGGACAGAGGAGGAGCCATCGTTGCCCCAAGGACAGGTTGGAAGAGCCTTTAACGAGTTGGAGCTGGGAAACTAGTCATCTACATCATGGTCCTTCCTGGGCCGAATGCCTGGTAGCGCATCTTTCGGCGAGGCCCATCAGTCGAAAGCAGCATGCGAAGCAGTAGATCAAGACCCTCGATCCGAAACCCAGCCAGACTCCTGCCAGGCTGTCGCCATGGAATTTCAGCATGGCCGCCAGCACGAACAGAGTCACTATCGAGGTTCCCACTACCCATCCGAACTCTCTCCCAGCGAGCATGGCGCCATCCAGAGACGCGGAGAACATGAGCACAACGATGCATCCGGTCACGACGTGTGAAGCTTCCCTCATGGCTTGACGGATCGCTGTGAAGAGCAACAAACAAGTCAGACATGCAAGGCTGTCAGGCCCTCGGGCCCAACAACAATCACCTAGATCAGTCACGAACAACCCGTTCCCAACTGTTGCAAGAGTAGCAAAGACGCTTCCAACAAGGACAGAAGCAATCAAGGAGAGGGATCCCAGATTTCCCATGACCTTCCAAGCTCCCTTCGAGTCTCCTGCATCCAGGAGGCGAGGGAGGGTGGTCTGAGCGGTCTGGGAGAGGGGTTCTCCGAAGAAGGCGAAGAAGGCGAACAGCTGGAAGAGCACCTGGAAGAGGATCAAACGGTTTCAGCCAAGACCGACAGGTCGGACAACCTGGTAGGCTCCGATCTTTTGAGGGCTGAGAGACGAGACCCTCTTGGTCATAAGGGTGAACCCGTAAGCGCGGGTCAGGGATATGGTGGCGAGGGGGCCGACGTAGACGAAGAGAGGGTTGAAGTAGCTGAGGACGGCTCTCGGAAGGTGGAGGATGCTGGTCAGGTCGGGGAGGATGCGCTTCTCCCTCGCCGACATGAGCTGCCGGGGCCAGTGAGTGAAACGGCCGGGCTCGGGCGACACTAACACAGCACCTGAAGGCAGGCCCCGAGACACTGGGAGATGGAAGTAGCGAGAGCAGCTCCGGCTAGCCCTCCTCTCTAGGAGCAGAAGGTCAGAGAGCTCGCTGGCAACTCTCCGATGTTACCATGTAGTGACAGAAGATCGCGTCCCCGACGACGTTGGCTGCCCCTGACCACAGCACCGACCTCAGTGGAGTGACGGAGTCCTTAGTGCATAGCAGGCCCGCGATGACCACGTAGGAGAGGACAGCAGCCTGCAGTCCTGTCAGTAATACCAAGAGGAAAGCTTTCTCCCCACCGGAACCCCCGGCGCCCGGTACCGTACGTACTCGGTAGCTGGCTCGATGAGCCTCGGGTCGACCCCTAGCATTTTACCTGAAGGGAGTCAAGGCAGGTAGGAAGGAGGAGGAGGAGGCAGGACTTAGAAGCATCGGAGCGAACGTGAAGAGGATGCAGGAGAGCGTCAGGCCAACGATGAGGGCGAGACTGAGCGCCCGACGCATCTCAGCCTGCACGCGCGCACTCAGATGGTGATGGCGGCAGGGGCGCCGCATGCATACCCTGGTCTCTTCGCCGCTGGAGTCTCGCACGATGGCCCGAGATACTCGGCCCGTGGTCGCTCGAGCCAGGAAGCCGAGCAGGAAGACAGACATGTCGCAGATGAAGGCAGCCGGCTGAAAATCCACTCAGAAACCTTGCGTAGCAAGTGGAGGGGAGGGACCTGTAGGGCTGCCAACGACCTGACCTCATCCACTGCTGTCTTGCTGATAAAGACTGAAGAAAATGTCACATCCTCCGTACGTCAGCACGCTCATGATCCCACCGGTATCAATCACCGAGAGGAGAGGGCCCGCGATGAAGATCCCCAGCGCAGGGATGGCGAACCGGAGCATGTCCTGGGTGGAGTGGAGCTCTTCTCCTTCGTCGGATCCTCCTTTCATTCGAAGCTCTCTCCCTCCATTCTTCCTCCCATCGCCATGCCGCGGCCACCCGCAGTTCCCCGATCCCTGCAAGTTCAGTTTCCCTCCAGTGCCATATCCGGACGTAATTCCACAAGAAGGTCCGAGGCTCCTGATCCCTCCCGTCACCGCAGCTCTCTCGGCATGGAGAGAAGACGAGGATCTCCGTAGCGAGGAAGCATCATTCACAAGCGCCTCGCTCGCCCCCGCCATCATCCATATCAGCGCCGCTGCCCTCCTGACCATTTTTTCCCCAACCTAAGACACGACCCTCCTCCAGTACCCCATACATGGCTCCACCCTACCCTATGTTTCCTCGAAGTCACCCTATTTGAAACCAGAAAGTGAGAGTACCCCCACCCCCTCGTTCCTCCTGCTACTTGCAAATTTCAATGGTCTGTTTGGTGGCAGTTGCCCTAGCGGGCCCATGCAAGAAGGGAGGAGAGCGAGGGAGAGGAGGAGCAGCAACAGCAGGAAGGAAGAGTGGCGGGAGAGCGGAGTAAGCATGATGATGACTGGCATCCTGAGGACGAGGACGAGGAGGTGGAGGAGGGAGTGATCGCTGGGCGGACCAGCCATGGATGCCGTGTCGGAAGGGAAAGGTGTGGGCTCCGCCATATTCGACTGCGTCTGATGCTGTTGGACTTGCTTCATATGATATCCCACGAGCACACAGCAAGTAGTCGCACTGTAGACAGAGAGGGAGGAGGAGGAGGGGGAGGAGGGTAGATAACTCGAAGTTTCGGGTAAGCTACAGGAGCACAGGCGGTGGAAGATGGAGGCAGCAGCAGCACCAGAGAACATTCAGGTTGTCCTCCGGGTTCGCCCGTTGAGCGAGACGGAGCGAAGCCGAGGAGACAGGAAGGTGGTCCAGCTGATGGAGGACGGGAAGAGCGTTCAGCTTAAGAGCAGCTCCAAGGAGGACTTTGGTAAGTCATCAGGAGTGAAGACGTTCGTCTTCGACTCGTGCGTCAACGAGGACGCAGACCAGGCCTCCTTCTACGACAAGTGCGGAGCATGGCGGCTGGCGCAGAAGGCGCTTGATGGATACTCGTCTACATTGTTTGCATACGGCCAGACGGGGAGCGGGAAAACATACAGCATATCCGGAGCAGAGGACGTTATCATAGACGACCAGTACCATGGCGGGGACCCGAGGGAGGGGCTGATCCCGAGGACAGCACGGCAGCTCTGGACGGAGCTGGAGGGGAGGAGGAGCGAGAGGAAGTACGCGGTGAAAGCTGCGTGCTTCGAAATCTACAACGAGCAGGTACTGGACCTGCTGAACCCGGAGGCAGGAAACCTTCAGATCCGAGAGAGCAGAGCACAGGGGTTCTACATCGAGAACCTGCTGGTGGTGGAGTGCCAGGCAGCGTCGGACCTGCTGGAGGTGTTCAAGGAGGGGACGAGGAATCGTCACGTAGGAGAGCACCAGCTGAACCGAGACTCTAGTCGCAGCCACAGCGCGCTGGTGATCTATGTGGACAGCGTGAGGTTGGATGAAGACACCGGGGAAGAGGTGAAGACTGCATGCGCGCGGAGGAGAGGGCGCGGGGGATGGAGAGCGAGGGGAGGGAGGAAGGGCGGGGACGTGTGGATGCGGGAGGTTGGGAGGAGGATGGAGTTGGTGGGGGTGGGGGTGGGGGTGGGGGGCAGAGAGGAGGAGGAAGGTATGACGAGAGGTCTGTAGATTCGGCAGTATGGCAAGCTGACGTTCGTGGACCTGGCTGGAAGCGAGCGGCTCAAGTACTCCGGGAGCTCGGGGGAGATGATGAAGGAGACGGGGAGTATAAACCGCTCGCTCTTCACGCTAGGGAAAGTGATCGCGACCCTGAGCCGAGGAGAGACGTTCGTTCCCTACAGGGACAGCAAGCTCACCAAGCTCCTTATGGACTCGCTGGGCGGGAGCTCGTCCTGCGTCATGGTTGCCTGCTGCTCCCCCTCCGGCAGGTTCGTAGAGGAGACGCTGAGCACCCTGCAGTACGCGTCTAGAGCAAAGAGCATCTGCAACAAGCCCATCCTCCAGCTCGACCCCTCCCAGCGGCTCATCCAGCAGCTGAGAACGGAGATCCAGGCGCTGCGAGCTGAGAACATGCAACTCAGGATACAGCAGGGGATCCCAGCAGGGGAGAAGATTATGCCGAGCTCGATGGCGCTGCTGAGATTGCAGGAGCACGAGGAGGCGGGGAGGGAGGCGGGGAGGGAGGCGGGGAGGGAGGCGGGGAGGGAGGCGGGGAGGCAGCGGGAGGCTCCAGGCAGCCCCAGCAGCCCAAAGCCAGAGGAGACCTTCTCTCGCTCCTCCTCCTCTCTCTCCGTGCGGGGCTCGAACAAGCTGAATGGGACAGGAGGAGGAGACCCGCTCTACGAGAAGGTGCAGCAGCAGCAGCAGCAGCAGCAGCTCGGCTCCCTCCCCTCCTCTCCTGCTGCTCTGCCTCCCACTTCTCTTCCTCCTCCTCCTCCTCTACTTGTTTTCTTTTCCCCTGCTCCCCGTCCTTCCCTTCTCTGCCCTCCTCTTGTACCTTATCGCCTGCTGACAGGCCGTTGGATACGCGGAGGGTTACGCAGCTGGGCTCGATCAGGCGCGCGAAGTCTTGTCGAGGTGACTCCTAGCAGTGACCAAGAAAAAATCTCACATCGATGGCAGCGGCGCTCTCGATCTGAACAATTCGCTTGCTCCTTATGGTTCAATTTGAATCTACTCCTCGTTCTCCTCGTCCTCCTCCTCCTCCTCCTCCTCCTCCTCCTCGATCCTCCTCCTCCCTGCTGCTGCTGCTGCTGCTGCTATTGCTTTCCTCGTCCTCTTCGTCCTCTTCCTTACCCTCACTCCTTACCCTCCTTCCTCGCTCTCACCATCCCCTCAGATCTCTTCCACCTCAAAGCTAACGGATCTTCGCGGGCTCCCACCCGGCTTCCTCCCCTCCCTGCTGGACATCCCGACGGTACGTGACTGCCGGTTGAAGGCGGAGGAAGGAAGAAGCAGAGAAGAAGGAGAGAGGGAGCAGGGAGCAGGGAGCAGGGAGCAAGGAGCAGGGAGACTGGAGGAGTAGAGCAGGGAGCAGGGAGCAGGGAGCGGGGAGGAGTAGAGGAGGGAGCAGGGAGCAGGGAGAGGGGAGGAGTAGAGGAGGGAGCAGGGAGGAAGGTGTTGTTCTTGATTTTGCAGAGGGGAAGGGAGGAGGAAAGGTGAGGAGTGACAAGACGGTCATTGAATGAGGAGCAGGGCATATGATGCAGCTGGGGTTCACCCCGAGACAAGATGAGCTGCTACAACTGCAGGCGTCGCATCAAACTCTAGAGCAAACATGCAGGTGCCCCAACCTCTCCTGCCTCCTCCCTCTAACTTGTTCCCCTTCCCTCTTGCTTCGTGCCTCCTCCTCCTCCTCCTCCTCCTCCTCCTCTCCCTGCTCCTGCCCCTTCCCCAGAACCTGCACCGCCCCTCCCATCTCTTTTCCTATTCCACCTGGTACCGTCCGCATCCACCTTATGACTATCGTTCTCCAGCGATCTCAAAGCAGAGTGTTTGCGCCTACAGGAGCAGCTGGACATGCAGGTGGGACGAGGCTTCTCTTGATCCTCGCTGAGGGTAGCAGGTGGTGAGCGGGTCGAGGAAGGAGGCGACTAGCCTGCCACAGGAAGGAATCAAGCTCAAGAGGTCGATGCTGCTCCTGCTCCTGCTCCTGCTCCTGCTCCTGCTCCTGCTCCTGCTCCTGCTCCTGCTCCTGCTCCTGCTCCTGCTCCTGCTCCTGCTCCTGCTCCTGCTCCTGCTCCTGCTCCTGCTCCTGCTCCTGCTCCTGCTCCTGCTCCTGCTCCTGCCTTTATCTCTTCCTCCTCTCATCTCTCAGTCCTTCAACAGGCTGGAAGTGGAAAATGCTGAACTCAAGAGGATGATTATGGAGCTCAGCAGCGGAGGGATGGGCATGGATGGGGGGCTGGGGGGAGGAGGACTGGGAGGAGGAGGGGGAGGATTGGGTCTAGGAGGAGGAGGAGGAGGCGGCGGCGGCGGAAACTGGATCAACTCCCCTAGAAGATCGACGTATCGCATAGGAGAAAGTTTTCCACTCGCATCCCCGACCGGTGAACTGAAGCTTTCCCCCTGCTCTTGCTATCCACTCCTCCTCCTCTCCCTTCTGCTACCACTCCTGTTCCTACTCCTACTCCTGGTCTTGCTCCTCCTCCTCCTCCTGCTATTACTACTTCTCTTTTCCCAGTTCTGATCTCGTGTTCGTCAGAGCCTTGGCGTTCGTTTGGAAGTCCACGACACTCCAAGGTCGTGAAAACAGAAGAGGGAAGGACGAAGAGGCTTGGGGGATGGTGGCAGAGAGGGAAGGGAAGAGAAGAGGGAGGGAGGGAGGGAGGGAGGGAGGGAGGGAGGGAGGGAGGGAGGGAGGGAGGAGGGTTGAGGGAGGGAGGAGGGTTGAGGGAGGGTTGAGGGAGGGAGGGAGGGAGGGAGGGAGGGAGGGAGGGAGGGAGGGAGGGAGTTTCGTGTGACAAGAGTGTAGGATGTCATTCGCCATGGCCATTCCTTCGTTCGCTCGGAGGAAAATTTGTGGGAGGAGTTCAGGGACGAGCTGAAACCTCCTCCCCTCTCCAATCCTGGCAGCTCCTCCTCCTCCTCCTCCTCACGATCTTTCCGCCGCCCAGGTTGGCTGCCTCCTCCTGCTCTGCTGCGGTGAGTTGATCTTGCAGGGGCTTCGATGCTTGCTCGACTCGGTGGGAAGTGAAGAAGGAGGAGAAGGATGACGAGGGTGTGCAGTGTAACAAGAGGAGCGGGGAGAGGCGTTTGTGACAGTAGACACGGTGGAAGTAGGAGCATCAGCAGGAGAGAGTAAGATATGGGATGAGGAGAAAGGGGCAGGGGGATGGGTGGGGGGGCGGGGGAGGAGGAGGAGGAGGAGGAGAGGAGTTTCGGATTATCTCTTCATGTCTATCATCACAAAGGGATAAATTTGACTTGGTCCGAAAATGAACGAGACTTTCTTCGTCACTTTCATCTGCATGGCCGTCAATTATGATCCTCCTTCTCCTCCTCCTCCTCCCCCCCCCCCCTCTCCTTTCCTCACCTGCGGCGCATCGCAAAGAAGGTTGTGCTCCATAGCGTTCATCCAAGGTTTCCACTCGTCTTGCCACTCATCAGGTCTCTCTTCTCCCCCCCTGCGACCTCCTGTCAACTATCTCCTCCCTTCCTCCTCCCTCCCTCCTCCTCCCCTACCTTCCCTTTCCTCTTCCCAGCATTCTCTTCCCCCCGCCTCCTCGCTTCCCCCCTCTCCTCCTTTGCCTTTCCCCCACCATCCTCCCTCCCACCATGGACACATCCACTGCTTTCACCTGCTTCTGCTCTCAGCAGCATCCTCCTCCTTCCTGCTCTTCCTCCTTGTCCACTCCGTGTACTCCTGCGCCATCTTGTAGCCCGGGGGAAGAGGAAAATCGTCGCTCCCAGCTCCCCTCCCCCCTTGCTGCTGCCCAGCTATCGACCGCTGGTAGGTGAACTCAGCAAGTGACTCGTTGAACGTGGCAACGGCCACGAGCCCCTTGGCCGTCTTCGCCATCTCGTCCAGCAGAACCCCAGCATCTTCCGAGGAGGAAGCTTGCAGCTTGTGCACAAGCTTGTCTGCGACCGTGCGAGCCTGGAGGAGCTGTGAGGAGAGGGAGGAAGCAGGGGAGGGGATGAAGGATGGGGGCGAGGAGGAAGGAAGAGAGAGAGAAGGAGTGGAGCGAGGGCGGCGGGAGGGAGGGAGAGAGAGGAAAGAGGGAGGAGAAGATGAGAGGCGGGACGAAGGAGGAGGAGGACAAGCATCAGCGGGCAGCAAGTCACCTGGAAGAAACTCTCTGCAGCGGCCCCGTAGAGCTCAGACGGGTGGTACTGGGAAGAGTCAGTGTTCTCCTCATAGTGTAGGAAGCTCAGGGCATGCGGCTGCTCCACCCTCATCACGGGCCCGAACCTCCGCTGGAACCGCAGCGGCAGCGTCGCTCGGCTCAGCTCATCCAGCTCGTAGATCTTCTCGCTGTTCAGCCCGGCTATGAGGCGGAACACGCCCCGGCACATGGCTTGCTTCGCTTCCAGCATCAGTTGCTCCATCGACGGCTCGCTCTTCTTCGCTCCTCCCGTCTTCCCTCCGTGCCCCTTGGACTTGTCCTTCTTCTTGCTTGCCCCCTTGCCCCCCTTTTCAGCTACCCCCCTGCTCTCCTCCAGCTGGTGCTGCCTGGACTTGGGGAAGAAGATGGAAGGCTGGCAGTTGATCCGAACCCCCAGCAGGTAGTCCATGTACCAGTAGAGCATGCTGTGCTCGAAGCCCGCGTACAACCTCAGCTGGAATCCCAGCTCGAAGTAGCGTACAACCATGACGAGCATCTGGTCCAGGAGCCAGCCGCTGAAGAACGCTCCTGTCTCCGACAGCAGGCAAGGCTTCCTGTCCTCGTACACCAGGAAGACTGTCTGGTCCACCAGCTCCGCTTCCAGCTGAGCATGTGCCCAGTCATCGATGCTCCTTGCCATGCGCCGCCGCTGTCGACCGAGGTTGTAGCAGGAGGAGGTGCAGTAGTTGAGAACCAGCTTGGACGTTGTGTGGATGAAGGAGGCGGCGGAGACACTCTGCAAGGCATGCTCGGGGATCAGGTAGTCCGCCATGCTCTGCCGCACCAGATGCTGCGTGTTCTCTCCTCCCAAGAAGTTCCCAGAGGTCAGGAGGAGTCGGAGAAACGAACGAGGAAGAGCGCCAGGCGCCGGAGAGCCGGAGGTGTAGTCCTCGAGGAAGTGATGGAGCTGAGAGAGGGAGGTGACGAAGGGAAGCTTGACGCATAGAGTCTTGAGGAAGTTGAGCTGCTCCTCCAGCTCGTCGAAGGCTGCGGAGAGGTTGAGGATCGGGACAGGACGAGGAGGAGAAGGAGCCATGAGCTTCATGTTCAGCCGCGGTTGAATCGCAAACTTGCCGACCCTGCTGGAGTCATAGTTGACGGTGGCCCTGGTGACCGACAGCTGCGCGAGGGCATAGGCGATAAGCTTATGAGCCGACTTAAGACTTTTGAAACCCTTGGAGAGGTTGTGCAGCACGCCCAGCCAGGCCCGTCTCAGCCTGATCCTCGCCAAGAAGGCTTCCAATACGGGAGCATCCTGTACATCCAAGATGAAACCCTCTGTCGGAGCTCCTGCCTGCTGCCTGGTCTCTTGACCTTCCGACGGCACCTCCCTGCTCTCTCCTCCTTCTCCCTTCCCACCGGCAGACATCTTGACTAGCTTAAGGTGCTGGATGCCATACAAGTCAGACCCACAGCAAGGAGAATCAGGCAGCGGCAAGAACCTTCTGCAAGTTCTCCTCCAGCCCCGTCAGCGAGCTGTCGCCAAGGCTTGTCAAGGGCTGGGGGTCGTGCGAGTGAAGCTATCACCTCATGATGACCTCCTCACTCAGCTTGTCGTAGAAAGAGAACCCTCCTACGAGCAGCAAGAGAGCCAGTGAGAATAGTGCCATGCTATCATCGCGACCCTCCTCACCCAAGTTCATGCTAAAGTCCTCCTCCTCATACACGTTCGCCCGTGAGACAGCCTGCGACAGTCCGCCGTCACTTGTGACAGCGAGAAGGAGGAGACGGCCACCTTCTTCACCAACTCGCAGCTCTTGAGCAGAGCCTGGCAGTACAGCCTGACAGCACGGCTTCAGTGAAGGGCATGAAGGCAGGCGGGCGAACCTCAGGCTCTGATTCTGAATCTCGTCCGGACGATGACAGTACAAGCAGGTGAAGACAGACTGTACCAGCGAAGCTTCGAGGAACTAAAGTCAGAGCTCCTCACTCTAGGTCGAGGAAAGAAACCTGTCCCTCGTACCCACGTCATCTCCAGAGCTAGCATCTGCCAACCATCGTTCAACCGCCTCTCCCTCCCTGAGTGACAGCTGCTACCTTGTCAGAGAGCGCCACCATGGTCTCCAAGTCTGGGTGAAGGGGGACGAGGCCTTGCTCGAAGCTCTCCTCTGCAGAAACCAGTCAGTGCTAACATGAGAGCCCAGGGGCGAGTCACCGGCGGAGACGACGTCAGGGTTTACGAGCCCCGCATCCATCTTAGGATCCATCATCTCCAACGCTGACATGCTGTCTCCCAGGTTGAAGGAGTCTGCATGCAGCATCTGCCCCTTCCCCAGCTCTGAGATCGAGTGAGTGAGTACTTGCGAGGTGGACAGAGGATGTGGCGCTTGTGGTGAGGCAGGGGAAGCAGAAGCGAAGAGAAGAGAGGCATGCGAGTACAGGCTCGTGGTATGTCATGAAGCAAGCACCCACAGATCAAGCGAGGGATGATCGCACAGAGCATGCAGCGGTCTAGGAGGGACTCAAGTGAAGCAGGATGCGAGGAAATCAGAGTTGATGCGTTGGAGGAGGAGCAGGGGACAGAACAGGAAGAGGAGCAAGAGGAGGAGTGGGGGGAGGAGGTTGAGTGCGACGATAATGTCACCTCCTCTTGCCGCCATGAGGACACGCGTGAAGTCCGTCCACTCCCCGCCATGTTCCCCAGCCATGTGCATGCCGCGGGTTACCGGGTTGCAATAGGGGGTGGGGTGAACATTCACGGGGTGGGGGTATTATTTTACGGGTACTTTTACTACCTAAATAAGGGGTACTGAAAGACATTGTCCAGAAATGGGGACTTTGGGTACAAAAAATCTATCTTGAAAAGTTTAGTGTCGGAAAATATATATGTATGATTCTTGCCACCTGTATTTATCTGTTGCCCCTGACCCACTCAGTGCCATGTCAACGAGAGTTCGAAAGTTAAGTATTGATCAGAGTGGACATTTGCCATGTTGTCGATGGTCTACAATAGTAGATCAATACCGGAATGGAATCAAAAGTTTCCCCACACCAACACAGTGGTGTCATCTGACCCCGACACAAGCATGCTCCCGTCCTCCGACCATGCCACACTCGTGACACAGCCAGTGTGTCCTCGGAAGCATCTGATCTCCATGCCGCTCTTTGCTACCCATACCCTCACCGTACAGTCCGACGAGCCTGAAGCAAGAAATTTCCCGTTTTCCGACCATGCGACGCATGTCACCCGTCCTTTGTGTCCTGTGCAGCAGCACACTCTCCTCCTATTGTTCATCTCCCACACTCTCACCGTCATGTCCTCTGACCCTGACGCGAGCATACTGCAATCTCGCGACCACACCACACAGGTCGCTTGCTGCCCATGACCCTTGAAGCATCGCAACTGCTCGCTGCTTCTTACCTCCCACACTCTCACTGTGCAATCATTCGACCCTGCGGCAATGAAGCTGCCGTCCTCCGACCATGTCACGCCTGTAACAATCACAGAATTCCTTGCAGAATATCTCATCTCCTCACCGCTGCTTATCTCCCATACCCTTACGGTGCCATTTGACAATTTCGATGCAAGCATACTACCATCCTTGGACCAAGCGAGGTGTGAGAATCTCTTAACATCTTGAAAGCATCTCAACTCCTTCCCGCTGTTTGTTTCCCACACCCTCACAGAGCCGTCCGATGATCCAGCTGCTATCATCTTTCCATCACTCGTCCATGACACGATCGTAATAACTCCCGTATGTCCCTCGAAGCATCCGATCTCCTTCCCACTGTCTCCCTCCCATGCTTTCACCTTGCCCTTCCATGAACTTGCAGCTACCATCATCCTACCATCCCCCGTCCATACCACACTTGTTCCGCCACTTCGATCTTCTCCTAAACATCTGATCTCCTTCTCACAGTGTAACTCCCATGCTCTTATTGTACCCCCCGATGACCCCGAGACAATGAAGTGTTGCTGTGTCCCACCACTACAAATGCTTATTGTCGCCGGACCATTTTGCTCAGAGCACCAGATCTCCTTCCTGCTCTTTAGCTCCCATGCTCTCACTGTACCTTCCGATGACCCTGTCAAGATAATGTTGTAATACTCCGTACCACTAACACACCAGGTCAATGCATTCAGGAATGTGATGCTGCCACTATTTTTCGTGAAGCACAAGACCTTTCTCCCGCTGTTTGGATCCAACACCCCCACAGTACCCTCCGATGACCCCGAGATGATGTAATCTTGCTGCGCACCATTGAGATTCAACCTCGAAGTTGTTAAACATGTGATGCTGCTGCAGTCGTCCTTGAAGCACAAGAGCTGCCTCCAACGGTTTGGCTCCCATGCCCTCACCGCACCCTCCGATGACCCTGAGATGATGTAGTATTGCTGTGTCCCACTCAAATACAAGTTCGTTGCCATCAGACATGTGATCCTGCCGCTGTCTTCCTTGAAGCTCCAGACCTCCTTCCCGCTGCCTCCAACCCATGCCCTCACCGCACCCTCCGACGACCCTGAGATGATGTAGTATTGCTGTGTCCCACTGCCATGATTCGAGTACGCTGCCGTCAGACATGTTATGCCGCCGCTGTCTTCCTTGAAGCACCAGACCTCCTTCCCGCTCGTTGCCTCCAACATCCTCACATTGCCCTCCGATGACCCTGATACTATTTGATTATTCGCACAGCCAAACACCATCAGACACGTGATGCTGCCGCTATTCTGCGACGAGCACCAGACCTCATTCCTGCTGTGTAGCTGCCATGCCCTCACTATACCCTCCGATGACCCAGAGATGATGTAGTAGCTTCCACACCCACTGATTTGTACTGTTGTCAGACACGCGATGCTGCTGCCTTGCTTGAGGCACAAGATCTCTTTCTCGCTAGTCAAGTCCCATGAAGTCACAATCCCTTCGTTGGACTCCTCTGCTGCAGATGCAAATGATGTCATTGTAAAGTAGTGTGATCCATGAAAAGTGCTGATCTTCTTTCCGCTGTTGATTTCCAATACCTTGATTGCACTGTCATCTGTCTCTGCCGCGATCAAAGTCGCATTCGGCGAGATGAAGACTTTTTTGACTTTACTTGTATCTGATGAAAAGCATCTCATCTCTCCCCATTTAGCGATCAACTTGGCATCGTTCTTATGTAATTCAGCACCATATCGCTTTTGAGTATCGATGATATGATTTTCTTTATTCTGATTGTTTCGACTTCCGACCTTGACTACTTGCAAAGTTAGTATATTACCACCATAACAAACAAATTACCCTTCAATCCTCGTGCTTCTAACTGCAGGTTGCGGTCTGCCAGCAAAGTAATCGATACTGCAGCTGCTGTCGGCCTTTTTGACGCCTCGTTGTCGAGACAGCACAGGATGAGTTGCTTCAACACCTGGTTGCCTTGGAGCTCTTTCAATACATCCTCCTGTTTCTCCACGCTAGCGGGCCTCTCGCGCATCATCACGTACGACATGACAAGGCCGAGCGAGTACACGTCCGACGCGAACGTCTCCCTCCCTCCTCTCCTCTGTTCAGGAGACATCCAGCACACATCCCCCTGCTTGACGGAGTGTGAGGGCGAGGCCACCAGCTGCTTCACCTTCACGAGCTCGAACCCCACAAGCTTTGCGACGTCGTTCGCTTCCACCTTGACGTTCTTGGGCTGCAGGTCCCCGTGAACGATCTCATGGGCATGCAAGTACGTCAGCCCATCTGCTAGCCCCTGCAAAACCGCGCGGCCTCTGGCCTGGTGCTCGTTCGCTCCGGCAGGTCTAAGAATCAGCTCAACGAAGCGATCGAGAGGCTGAAGCAGCGCCTCCGTCACTAGCAGGTACCAAGAGTCTCCGTGCTCGTCCGACAGGATGGCTCCGACCAGGTTACTGACGTTGAGGTGAGACATGCTGAAGAGCAGCATCGCCTCCTTCATGAACGCCTTGCGCGTCGACTCATCGCCATCGATCACTTGAGGGTCATGCGGCTCCTTCACGACCACCTCAGCCCCTTCATACGTCGCCTGGTACACGACCGTGAAGGCTCCTGTGCCGAGAATCCTCTTGGGTTTCCCTCGTCCAGTAGTCTCCACCTGAAGCTTCGAAGGGTCGAGAACCCACGGTCGCTCTTGTGCCTGGCTGACGTCTGAAGCATCGGATGACACTAGATCTGCGGCTGCTTTCATCTTGTTGTACGTTGAGTTACTTTCTAACGTCGGCTCTTCCATCCCCTCCCCACTATCATGCCCAGCAAGAGCACGGCTGAGGTTATGTACAGCTGAGAACACTTCTGACCTCTTGCCTGCTAGCTCAGCCTCGAGCTTGTGCTCGCTGCCCACGAGACGATCGAGAGGAGAAGGCTCTGAATATCGGCATTTGCCCTTTTTTCTTATGAACTGACGTACAGAGCACAGGAGACAGCAGAGATCGTTGAGAGCCGAGAGAACGAGAGACTTTCGCTCCTCGTCGAGATGCTGATGGTCTCGATCAAGTAGAAGATCGACCATCTCCTTCACCTCCGTCGCGAGATCGCGAAGCTCCTTCTGGTTGTTGGGCACAACATGCGCCTCCTGCCACAAGCTGACGAGGTTTGATCGAATCAAAACGAGAACGATATTCGACATGTCCAACGATCTGTGGAAAGACATTAGAAGATCAAGTGAGGGTGCTAGGTAAAACCGCTTCACAATTCATCATCAACACTTGCTTCACAATTCATCATCAACACGTGCAATACCATGATAGGAAGTAGAGACGTTTAGAGATCAAGGTCATTTCATGTCTTCTCCTGCTCTCCTCTCCACTCTCTTCCTTCTCTGCTTTCCCTGCTGCATCTTCTGCTGGAGTCAAATGAACCTGTCCCTCTCTGGGGCGGACTCGACCTGGGTAACTTGTGGTACTCAAAACTTGCTCGTACTGATCTATAGTAAAGAGGTATCATGGACTCGGACCTCGATCCTCAGTGAGTTTGCCGCCGTTACTGGTACAGCTTCGAGACCGCAAACCCGGTCGATCTAGTGAGTATTACCAGTGTTACTCTTACATCTCGTTGATTGTAACACATACATGTATGTTATTGACATCCACATCTCACATATATTAACTTTTCATATTTCTCAGCTCCCTTTCAGGAGGACCACATTCTCATCAATGGCCGCAGGCAGCAGATGCAGCCGGGGCTGCTCGAGCTGACATCCCAAGCTTGTCGCTTCACGTTCCAGGTCGTCTCTCCAGTCTTCACGTTCCAGAAGTAGGCGCGTCCCCTCTGATCGATGACTCGCTCCCAGTCTTGTTGCTCTGAGTACACGACAGGAGGAGATGGCGGCGGAGGCGGAGGCAGCAGCTTCCGCTCCGAGGTCACCACCTCTGCTTTGCTCCTCGTTGACGTCAAGGAAGCTCTTCGAGTTCTTGAATGCTCTTGCTCCTGCTCCTGCTCCTGCTCCTGCTCCTGCTCCTGCTCCTGCTCCTGCTCCTGATCCTGCTCTTGCTGTTCTTCGTCGTCATCGCTGTTGTCGTGTTTGTCACGGTCATGATGATGCTTGCGGAAATGATGAGGATTGCTTGAAAATTCATCGAGGAGCTGTTGCTCGCGCTGAGGACGAGGCTGAGCATTAAGATCAGGTTGCTTGTGTTGCCCATGTTGATTGCGATGCTCTTGTTCTTGATGACGACGGGAATGGTGAGGATGATGATGTCGTTGACGATGATGTCGATGATGTTGATGTTGATGTTGATGTTGATGATGATGATGATGATATCGATGCTCTTCCTCTTCCTCTTCCTCTTCCTCTTCCTCTTCCTCTTCCTCTTCCTCGTCCTCGTGATGCTGGACCAGCATCATCTGCTGTCTTTGTGGCAGCACCGGCCAAGCTGGATCCGAACCTTGCCAGTCCCTTCTCTGGGGGGTGACCTCTCGTTCCGAGCTTGAGCGATTCTTCAGCTGAGATTCCTGCTGGGCAGGAGTGATAGATCTGTTCCGACCATGTTCGACCTTGTTAGACCAGAAATTTTGACGTCGCAGGGCATAATCATCTGCGATGGAAAATCATGGGCTACTCGTCGTCGTCGTCGTACTCCTCCTCGTCCTCGTCCTAGTCCTCGTCCTTGTCCTCTTGCTCTTGCTCTTGCTCTTGCTCTTGCTCTCCCTCCTCGTCCTCGTCCTCGTCCTCGTCCTCGTCCTCGCCCTCGCCCTCGCCCTCGTCCTCTTCCTCCTCCTGCAGTCTCCATACCGTCTTCAGCTTCCTCACCCTCGATGGTTCCCAGAGGAAGAATGTGAGGCTGAGCAAGGAAAGCCATCAGGGCTGGTCGACGTTGATGCGACTTCACCTTCTCTTTAAGTATATCTACTCGTCTGCGCATGAGGAGCCTGGCGTTACCTCCGTCGAGTCTTCTCGGACTGTTGAGTAGCTCCCCACTCTTCGACCTGAGAACAGGCAGTAGGATGAGATGGGGAAGGGACCTTGTCTTCAGACTTACTTGTCTCCTTCGTGCGTCTCGCTGGACTCGATGTGATTTTCTGTCCCAAGTTTGTCAGCATGAGGATGGTCCTTCGACAGCAGCACCTGTGACGTGCTCTACTGCCTCCCTGCTCCTCTCCCTTGCTCTGCGCAGTCGTGCGTCGATCTCCTTGAGGGAAACCTCAACGTTCTCGAGCCCAAAGTTTGAGCTCAGTTGCTCCGGCGCTGGAATGGCAGAGTGAACAGGCGAACGTGGTTGTTGAATAGGAGGAGAGAGCAGGTTGTGAAGTGGAGGCGAGTGGAAGAGCGCGAGGGAGGGGAGAAGGGAGGAAGAACAAGGAGGGAGGGAGTGGAAGAAGCAAGGGAAGGGGAGGAAGGAGGAGCGAGGAAGGGAGCATGTGGGAGGAGGAGGCTGATCACTTACCAGGCCTTGATTTGCTGGGGAGTGCAACATCCAGGGTCGTTGCCTCCTCATCATTTCTGACACTTGAGATGGAGGTTTCAAGCTCTCTTGAGAAGGTTTCATCTTGAAATCGAATGCGGCGAGCGTCTGGGAAACGAGAGGGAGGAGAAGGATTGGTGTGAGGAAAAGCAGGAGGGGGAAAGAGGAGACCAAGATGGTCGAGGGGAAGGAGTAGGGTGGAGGACAGAAAAATGGTTGCGGGAAGGAAGGGAGGGAGAACAGGAGAAAGAGAAACAGGTGTGAGACGAGGAGCCGGGTAGAGGGAGGCTGGTGAGAAGAGAGAAGATTGTGAGTTTCGAACCTTTCTGAGGTGGTTTGTTCCTTCCAGCGAGGGAGATGAATGGAAACTGTGAAGGGTCAGAGTTGAACGATGAAAACAACAAAATCGACAGAAAGCTCGCTTTCTCCTGCTCCTGCTCCTGCTCCTGCTCCTGCTCTTCCTTTCGGAGGCAAAGGTCGGACAGAGACAATCTCCTGTTTGATAGTAGGTAAGCAGAAACCTCAGCTCTCCTGCTCCTGCTCTCGCTTTTCTCCTCAACCCTAACTCTCCCTTCCTCCCTTCCTCGCTCTCTTCTTCTCACGCACGAACACATGCGCACATAAACACACACTCCGCCCGTCCCTCGTTCCTTCGCTTTTGTATGTCTCCTCTTCGTATCTTCTCTGACCGGGTGCAGATTTTTCATGTAGGACTCCACAGCAGCATCTGCTCCGGCACCTTCAGTTAGAAACCGAAGCAGCTCAGCTTGCGCTACTTGTCTTGTATGATGAAACGTTCCCCGTCGCTCGGGGGCTGAGGAAAATCTTTAGAGGAAAACGAGCACGAGGGGTGGGAAGTGAAGGAGAGGGAGATGGTTGATTGTGCGATGCAACAGCAGCGGTTGTTGTTGTTGTCGTTGTTGTTGTTTTTGTTGTTTTTGTTGTTGATGATGATGTTGTTGTTGTTGATGATGATATGGGTATGAAGCAATCCACCAATGCAGACATTAGGAAGGAGAGCTGTTGATTTGAGGTGCACAGGGGGACAAGAGAAGGAGCGAGGGAGGATGATGGATGGAGCAAGTGAGTGTGGGAGGGAGTGCAAGGGATTGAGAGAAAGCCAAAGAAAACGAAGGCTTCAGAAATTCTGTGACATGTCTGCTACCTGACGATGTCGATCTGAAGCTCAAAAGTGTCAGCTGAAAGTCAGAGAGCGAATTAAGTCACATGAGATTCTGGTCTCTTCCTTTGCTGGTAATTTCCGTTGAGAACTGCAGGAGAGGGAGAGAAGGGAGCAGAATAAGAGAAGTTGAGAGCGGTTTAAGGGAGGGAGAAAGGAAGGGAAAGGAGAGAAAGCAAGTCGAAGGAGGGAGGGAGAGAAGGAAGGTGAGGGAGGGAGGGAGGGCAAAGAGGAAATGGAGTAAAGGATTGGAGGAAGAGCGGGAGGTGGAGAAGGAGGAGAGGAAGTCAGTATTTTCCTCATCAAATTCCTGCCTCTCACCATCAAACGCGTGATGGATCTTGGACTTGATCTCGCCAACATCGATATCTCCGGGGAAGCTCCTGACGTTCCCCCTTCTGTCCCTGGGAGAAAGGAGGGGGTTTGTGTGAGTCATCAGGGCGTTGGTGCTGCTGCGCTCCCTGCTCCTCCTCGTCGTAGTCCCTGCCTCCCCGTACGATCCTTCCCGCTGCTTCCCCCAGTCGTCGGTTGCCTCTGCTTCTTTCACCGAGCTCATGTCAGGTAAGAGGGAGGACGGGGACAAGGAGAAGACCTCTGCTGTTCCTCCCAACCGGGAGGGACGCAAGTGTGATTGAGCTTTTCTTCTCGTAGATCTTGGAAAAACCTTGCACTCTCTGCTCGCCCGTTCAGCCTCCTCCACCTCTCAAGATCAAACTTCCTACTTGATGGCAAAGAGGGCAGTTTCGACAAGATCGCGAGTGCTCTGTTCCCCACGTCACCGCATGCTCCGCCCTGCCGCACGCCTACCTTCGCAGACACACTTGTGCATGCACGGGAGGAGGGAGATAGTCGCCGGGGCGTCCATGCAGATCAGACACCTGCATCGTGCCAGCAGACAGTCAAACGCTCTCCCTCGCTCCCTGAATTCACTCACCGGAGTACACTCTTTGTTCCCCGTTCGAAGGAGTCGTCATGAGGGCGAGGCAGGTCATAGGTCGAGGAGCGGCTGCTCGACACGGCTGAGATCCTTTCCTGTCCTCGTCTCGTGTTTTTCCGCGGGCTGTAAATGGTCAAAACCCCCTCCGGCACGTGACCCACTTGATCCCCCTCCATGACCCTCGCACTCCTCATTCCCGTTGCTTAAACCAGATCATCGCCATCATGGCGGACGGTCGAACTGACACAAGGGATGAAGCCTGTCTCATCCTTGGTTTTGATGAGTTTTCTGTCTTCAGGATGGTATTTTGATTTCGATCCGCGGCGTTGTTTACATTTCCGAACGTCCCTCCTAGAGATGATCTTGCGGATCTCCTGTCTATCATCAACGAGAATTCATGACATCACATCTATCAGATCATTTTCTCATTACAGCTTCTTTCCCTGTACTCCTCTTTCTTTCTTTTCCTGTCAATCCTCATCCTCTGCCTAGATGTCCCTCGCTATGTCTGGACCTGGCATTCCTACATTGACTGGCTCCTGGCTTTCCTACATTGACTGGCTTCGTCTCTATTTCCTCTCCTCACGCCTTGATCCGCTGCTTCTCGACCTGCCTGCCTGCCCAAAAACTGTTACCTGCGCGTCATGAATTCTTGCACTGACTAAACCCCACTTCCCCTCGCTGCCTCGTTGCATTCTCCTCCCCTTCGATCCAATCTTTACCTGCTTCTCTTCTTGTAGTAGAGTTTCCTTTGCCTCGGCTTCGCTCTCCTCTCCTACTCTCCTCCTCCTCCTGCCCCGCCCTCCTATCCCCTGCGCGCTGGACTCGCATTCCTTTACCGCCCTGCAGACCGCCCTGGGCCTTTTGTCATCTGTACCCCACCCCCTTCATTCCTAGTAGCTGCAGGAGCATTTGAGGGGTGATCGGTTTTCTGGTTGGGGGCTCACTCAGGGTGGGTAGTGACAGGATTTGAAGGGGTCTATAAAAGTTGTATGAGGGGTGAGGGTGACTACCCCTACCCACAAAAATGGAGTAAGTTGTAGAGATATTACTCAAGTCATTGTCAACAGAAAACAGGTCAACTGACAAACTATTAAAATTGTGGGGTGGGTAGTTGAGCACCCCTCATGGGTGGTCCTTGCTAATCTGTGGGTAGGGGGTCATACCCACCAGTAACGAATCCTATTCAAACAGCCAAAAAGTACCCCTGTTTGAGCTGCACTAACAACAACAATTTGACGACCCCTGTGATATCCTCTGATTTGTCGGGATCACCCCACCCCACCCCTACACCCACAGCCGCCATGCTTGCGCTTCATGGAGGGCAGGGACGGAGCGGCCATGACAGAAATCCTCCTCCTCCTCCTCCTGGTGGATCGCAAGTTTCCCTCACGCCTCGTCCTCCTCACAATGCATGGGGATCACATCAAACTTCTGCGCCGAACTCATGGGACTCAGCGCAAGACGTCTCTTACCGGAGAGGGCAGGAACAGTACACACTTGCGACTTCAGCTCCCTCTCCCGCTCCATCAGGAGACTCCTATATCCCTCCCACCCCCCCTCTTGATTCCAACATGCCGTCCTACAACGACCGCGGAGGCTTCACGCCTCGCCCGCCCCAGGAAAGTTCTAGAAGGAGCTCTGCGCCCAGCAGCACGCTCGATTATGATGAAAGCGCTTCCATGGCGAGAGGGTTCGGGGGAGATGCGACATGGGAGGTGGTGTCTAAACATGCCATGCCCTTGAGCTGAACGTTTTGACAACAGCCCAAGAACGACGCGATGCTGGAAGAGAGAAGGAAGAAGGCCATCAGGTCCTTGCAACAAAGAGCCATCCTTTGTTGTGAACCGGATGATTTGCAGGGAGAGAGAAAGAGAGGCCGTAGCAAGGCAGAGACATAAAGAGATGCTTGAGAGGTGAGCTTGCCGTTGGATATTTCTTGTCTCAAAATGAAGGACAATGACAGGAAAAGACAAGAGCAGTTGAAGGCGAAAGCTGAAGCAGAGAAGGAGATGAAGAAGAGGGAAGAAGAGATGAAGGCGCAGGACGACCAGCGGAAGAAGGAGATCGAGTTTGCAAGGTGAAGTGCTCTCAAGCTCGATCATCAGCTTGTCACTGCCATGCAGGTTGCAGAGACTAAGACAGAAGGAGATGGAGGAGGCGGAGCGGGAGGTGAAGAGAGCGACTGATGGGAGCGGCACCTGAGCGAGTCTTGTAGGCGGAGAAGAGGCGACAGGCCGAGCTGACGATGAAGAGGGAGAAGGCTCTGCAGCACCTTGATTCGCAGAGGTTGCGTGCCGCGGAAGAACAGTGAGGAGGAGGAGGAGGAGGAGATCTAGTGGGCAGTTGATTTTTGATGGAAGGCGGCGGAAGCGGGAGATGATATTGGAGAAGAGACAGCAGGCTGAGAGACTGCGCGAAGAGACTCAAAGATTGTAAGCTCGATCCCCTTGCTCGATGTGAGATGTTTCGTACAGCAATTCTTACTCAGTTACAAGGTATGAGGAAAGACTGAAAGAAGAGAGTCAGAGAAGGTCCGATATCGTTGCTGCAATCGCAAGACACAGGTGAATATTTAGCTCATGTCCCTTGCCCTGTCTCGCTCTCCTTCTCCTTCTCCTTCATCATCACCATCATCAAATTGCGCGATCATAAACATCAGGCCTGGTCTTGGATTGATGGTCTTGTAATTGCCATCCGCAGGGAGACCAAGTTAGCGGAGATGGAAGCAAGGAAGAACAACCCATTACTGTAAAAGATCAAAACATCTCTCAGATCTGCTCTCTCAAATTCTTGCTTTCAGTAATCAGCAAGACGAAGAGTTGGCCGAGCTGGTTCAAGTATCTGCAACTGTGACAAGAATCGCGTCAAAGATTCATGAGATTCAAGTACAACCGTGTGTCAGGAGGCATCGCAGATGTTATTGACATGTTGCCAGATCAAACGTGAGGAAACGAGACACAGACTGCTCGAAGCAAGGCACAGGGTTGAATTGCTGATTATGGATGAACATGATCATACGCTCAGTCTTGAAGAGGTGAAGCATTTTGAGATGGTGGTGGTAGTGGTGGTGATGATGATGATGAAGACGATGGAGATGATGATGATGATGATGGATATGATGATGATGATGATGATGACAACGACAACTACGACCACGATAACGACCTGGACGATACAATAAGACTTCCAAGTGCACTTGTAATCTGAAGCATGCCTGTGTCATGATGTCACATGAAAACGACCTTCTGCTTGTAATCCATCACAATAGGCTGAAGGAGACTTCTCGAAGTTGAAGGCTCATCAAGAGGCTCTTACTCGCCTGGTCACTTCCAGGTATTTGCTCCCTCCTCCTCGTCCATCTTCTGATTTTTCGGTTCAGGTATGACAGCGAAGTCTACGACAAGGTAAGAAGAAAAGTTTGAATACCTTGCAATTGGGTTCTTCAACCAAGCCCCACCCCAATTCCCCGACGTCGCCCCGCACCCCCCCCCTCCTCCTCCTCCTCCTCCTTCTCCTCTTGCTCATCCTCCTCCTCCTCCTCCTCCTCCTCCTCCTCATCATCATCATCATCAAACGCTGCTACCTCCTCTCTCCTCCCCGTCTTTCCTTCCCCTCTCGATCTCTAATGGTCTTCAAGGCTGTTGTCAACATCCAAAGAATATTCCGCGGAGCTCGAGATCGACTCATGTAAGTGAAACCCTCCCAACCGTTTTCCTCCTCGCCATCGCCCTCGCCCTCGTCCACCTCCTCGTCCTCCTCCTTCTCCTCCTTCACGTCCTCCTCTTCCTCTTCCTCTTCCTCTTCCTCTTCCTCTTCCTCTTCCCTTCCTCGTCTCTTTCGTTGTCATCCTCGTTCTTTTTCTCTATCTAGTATTGTCTCTTGCCTTTTCCACTCCTCGTCACCGCGAGCCTCTTCTCCATGTCTTCAGTCTCGATGATTCTTTTCTCAGCGTGAAGCAGCGCAAGTCGACGGTCTACGAGCAGAGGCTGGAGGAGGCAGCAGTAGCGATCCAGTCAAGGTTCCGAGGGATGATGGTGAGGGAGAGGGAGAGGGAGAGGGAGAGGGAGAGGGAGAGGGAGAGGGAGAGGGAGAGGGAGAGGGAGGGAGGAAGACGGAGAACGAGGGTTCTTTCTTTCCTCACTCCGGATCGCATGCAGTCTCGAACGGAGAGGAAGAAGAAGACGCAGAGGATACACAGCGAGAGGGAGCAAGCATCAATCAAAGTGCAGTCGCTCTTCAGGTCTCCCTGTGCATTCATGGGAGGAGGAGGTGACTGATGCGGTCGGGGCAGGGGCATGAAAGACAGGAGGAGGGCGCAGGAGCTGAGGGAGGAGAGGAGGCACGAGGAGCTTGTGCAGCGATCGATCATGAGGATTCAAGCATGGTGGAGGGCTCTCAAGGCGAAGCAGATGATGAGACTGCTGAAAGAGATGGAGGAGCTTCAGGTACCTCTTCTCTCTCCTGCTGCCTCCTTGCCCTTCGTTATGCTGCTGCTGCTGCTGCTGCTGCTGCTGCTCCTCCTCCTCCTCCTCCTCCTGCTTCCTCTCTTTCCCCCTTCCACCTCAACTATTTTTGCTTTCGCGTCTTCCTCTCGCAGTTTCCACTGACTTCACCTCCTCGTGCAGCTCATCAACTTCAAGAAGGCTCAAGTGCAGCAGGAGAGCAAGAAGGTGAAGACCAAACCCTCCAAGCCCAAAGTCAAGACCGCACTCAATGATCACAGCACCTCCGGTTTCCTCTCGTCAGGTTCGCCTCACTCCTCCTTCACTCTCTTCCGTCTCTGCCTCCTCGTCTTTTTCTCCTCCTCGTCTTCTCCTCCTCTTCCTCTCACTCCTCCTCCTCCTCCTCCTCCTCCTCCTCCTCGTTTTCGTCTTCTCCCTCACGTCCTTGTTCCCATCCTCCTCCTCGCCCTGATCTCACGCTTCCTCCTGCCAGCCTCGTTCGTGGACATGGATTGGGTGACGAGGGAACAGCATCGAGCACATCAGAGAAAGGCGAAGTTGGAGTTCGAGATGAACCGCAAGAGTGGAGGAGAGCTCACCAAGATCTACCTCGACCCCATCGGTCCTCTCCTCTCCGTCTTGATAACCCACTGACACCCCCCAATCCCCCCTGATCTCTGCTCCTGCTGCCTCCCCTCTCTATCCCCCCATCCCTATCGCCTCCCTCCTCCTCCCCTCCTCCTCCTTCCCTTCTCTCTTCCTCTTCTCCTGCCTCCCCCGCCTCCTCCCTCTTCCCCTTCTTGTCTTCCTCTCCTACTCCTCCTTCCTCCTTTCCTCTCCTGCTCCTCTCCTCTCCCTCCTCTCCGATCCTGATCCTGATTCTGATCCTCCTCCTCCTCCTGATCCGCTCTTCTCTCTCTCCTCCACCCCGTCACTTTCCCACATCTCATCTTTCTCCAGGACCTCGAGGGAGGGGCGGGCCCCGGCAGAAGAGGATGTTCATTCCCCTTCCAGCCACCGAGAAGGCTGTCAGCCTCTACCGCATCCCCTACAACCTCTCCGGTGACGTCAGCACCTCCGACCTCCTCCGGGATGAGCACGACCCTCGGGCTCTCAAGATCAAGCACGAGGTCGACCTTAAGGCTATCCCGGTACTCCCTTCCTCGTCCTCGTCCTCGTCCTCGTCCTCCTCCTGCACCACCACCGACACCACCACCAGCACCAGAGACTGCTGCTGCTGCTCACCTCCACCTTCCCCTTGCCACCACCACCACCACCACCACCACTTCTTCCTCGTTCTCCCCTCCCCTTCGCCTCCTTTCCAGCTGACTCTTGCCCGACAGCGGCCTATGGGAGAGGCTCCAGCGTACGCGAGGCAGAAGGACGGGAACTTCCCCGACCTAAACAGAGACCAGCAGTCTAACTTCACCCCCCGATGTAGCCCCGACGCTCCTGCTGTCAGCTTCATCTAAGTCCAGCTGCACCCGAGCTGGAGGGCAGGGAGGCACCAGATGTAGACTAAAGTGAACCAGCGGCGCTGCTGCCTCAAGACAATATGACAACCTTTATTACAAAGCTCAGCAGTTGGTCCAGTCTAACGTTGACACCGAGTTGGTCTGCGCTGTTTGCGCCTTCTTCGTACAGAGAACCTGTGCCGGTCTCAGGGAAGAGCAGGAAGGAGGGAGGACGGCGGCAAGAGGAGGGAGGACGAGAGGAAAAGGAGCAGGAAGAAATGGAGGGCAAGGAGAAGGGAGGAGCGGAGCGAGGAAGGAGAGGGGGGCAGGAGGGGGGGGAGAGAGAGCAAGCCATACACTCATCTCTAGCAGCGCTTTCTCGATGGCAGCTGCAAACGCTTGTGAGCTTGCTGGGCTCTCCTCCTCCAGCTCCTCGACCGCCGAGCTCTCCCCTCTCCTGCATGGCATGCATGTCAAGAGCTGGACCTCAGCTGGACCCTCCCCCCACCTGTAGCAGACATGGAAGTAGATGTTGTCCTCGTTGACAAGGTATGACACCGCATACCCGTCCTCTGCAACCGGCCCGAACCCCCCGCTGGGCCCTCGCTGACCTCATTCGTCAGCTCCTCCCCAGCTGGGATCCACCTTCCACACCTGTGCGGGCGCCTGACTCGTCCAGAGCTTGACAGGGAGCGTGAAAGCTTCGTCCTCCAGCTCCGCACATGACACCCCGAGCTCCTTCGCCATCTGCTGTGGGAGTCAAGGAGAGAACGAGCGACTGAAGAAGCAACGAGATGGAGCGGAGGAAGGAGAGGAAAGCAGAAAAGTGAAGGGTAGGCAAAAGATGGGAGGAACGGAAGGAAACCATTGCCACAGTGAATGAGCTGGAGATTAAGCAGAGAGGTGGGAGCAGGAGAAGAAGAGGTGGGAGCAGGAGAAGAAGAGGAGCTAGAGAAGGAGGGAGAGGAGGAGGAGGAGGAGGAGGAAGACGGACCATCTTCAGTCCGAAGAGATGCTTATCCACTCCATTCCCGTTCATTGCATCCTTCACTCGCTCGACTTGCGTCACGCATGCCCTTCTCAGCAGGTGCAGCTTCGTCTCTGCTGCGGAGCTACAAGCGGCATGAGCACTGGGGGAAGGAGCCTCCTCCTCCTCCTCCTCCTCACCGATCCAGGTGTGCCATGGACTTGACGAACGCAACCGAGTCGCTCGAGACGGTCCTGCGTCAGACGAAGTGAGGAGTGGAGGAGAGAAGGAGGGAGGAAGAAGATATCAAGGAAGGCTGTGAGGACGTTGAGCGGAGGAAGAGAGGGAGGGCGGGAGGCAGGGGCAGGAAGGAGATCACGCAGGTCAAGCCTACCTTACGACTTCCGTTCGCCCGTGGAAGAACTGGCGGGTGTGAGCAGTCTCTGTGCTCAGCGTGATGCAGCCGTGCAGGCGGTAGTAGGCAAGTTGAAGAGCCATCTGCGTCATCGATAACTCACATGCAGAGGGGATGGGTGAGGTCAGGGCGAAGAGGAGGGAGGAAAAGAGAAAGAAGGGAAGGAAGATGGGACGGTGAAGAGGAGGAGGAAGGAGAGGAGGAGGAGCAGTTCCTGCACGAAGGCATCCGGAGACATCTCGCACTTCTTAATGAAACCTTGTCAAGAGTCAGAAGCCGTCTGAGAGCTCTAGGGCTCCTCCACCTTTCCCAAAGTATCGCATGTTGAGGACATGCAGGTCTGTCTTCGAGACCAACTCCTCGTACTTGATCGACGCCTGCCAGTCCACAACCCTCAGCTGCAGGTCAGCTGGCCACAGCCCAGGTTCCCCACCTTGTCAATCGCCTCGGCGATATCGGAGGAGAGCTTCCACTTCAACCGGATCGTCTTCACTTTCTTCGCCCCTCCCTGTCGCTCTGCCGAGTTTGTCGCGCAGTCGTCGTGGGGGACGGAGAAGTTGAAGGCGGCGTTCTCGTGGTCGTGCATGAAGCCGAAGAGATGGGAAGCCACTGGGGCGTCAGCCCAGGACCTGGTGGGCGTGAGAAGCAGGTTCGTGCTGAGACTTCATCGACCTCTCGACGTTGACACCGGCCGAACCGTCCTCGTACACGATCAACTGCCAAGAGCTTCAGCGTCTCCTCAGATCCTCCAGCATGCGGCGACCTGGAACGACTTGTCGAACCAGCGGTTGCGCCCGTCGCCGATGAAACTGCATCGCAGTCATCAGCGTCCCTGCGATCCCCTCGCTCTTCTCACGTCATCCTCGCTTGTTCAGACAGCGACGTTGCGTACGCGCCTTCCAGGACGAGAACAAACATTGCCGTCTCGATCTGCAGCTGAACATCAACAGATTCCCTTCAGGGCAGCGACCTGGTCTTACGATCGTCATCGAGCGCTCGTTCTCAGGGTCTACCTCGAACAACTTCGGAAAGATGTCAGCGACCTGCGCTTAAGTTCCTACTGGTCCAACCTTGAGACGGAGCCTCGCCCACGTGTCCCTCTCCTCTGATGTCAGAATGCCGACGGGCGGCTCTTGCTCGTGAGGCTGGAACATGATCGTCAGGCGAGCTGGTCCAACGTCATCCTGCCAGCCTCCAACCTGCAGTTGTTTGCAGTCCTCAATGATCGCCTTGATATTCTCCTGCAGCTCCTGGGGCAGCGATGAGGGCGGAAGGCACACAACAACCACAGAATCACCTGGACAGTGAGAGCGATCCCGTCGTCGTGAAAGACATTCATCTTGTACATCTGTCCCTTGATGAGGATAACAATGTGTGCACTCCTACGCAAACGCTCATGTCAACTCAGGCTCAAGCGAGGAGAAACCACCTTGTCGGCAAGAATGTGAACAATTCATCGCAACCTTCTCGTGGTACCCTGCAGGTAAAGAACACACGACGATACTGGGATGACACGTTTCAAATGCAAACATCTCAAGGCTTTTATGGCACCTGCCACATGCACAACGGCACATAACCCATGATCTGCAGAGGCTCGAGCTTCTCTCGGTTCTGTCGGGCGCATGTCAGCCTCTTACTTGTGCTCGAGCCTGTCTCACCAGGTGTCGCATGAATCTGATCGCCCCCGATACCAGCCAGGAAGCCCTCCAGGATTGCGAGCAGGAGCTGAGCAGTCTACATTTCAGCGAACCAGCTTGCAAGCTCGTCACTGAAGCTCACGGTGAATCAGGTCGGTCAAGGCCGTACCAGTTCCCATAGACTGTGATGTCAAGCTCATTCGTGATGCTCGAGGTGAGGGCGGCAACGTACCCGGAAGGGGAAGACGACACCTGAGGAAGTGCTCCTTCTCCCACCATTCCTGCGCAACTCCATCAACCCGCTCCTTCCTGCCTTCTGCCTCCTTGTGATCAACCTCTAGCCAGGACGAGATGCCCTCCAACGCTCGCGCTCGCTTCACTAGAGCTCGCTGCATCTTCTCACCGACACCGCCTACCGATCAACGTGAGGACAAGCGACGAACCCAGCAGGCAGCAAACCGGCCGACGCGAATTGCAGCACTACTTGCGCGCTGCTCTCCCAGTCCGCAGACGACATCAAGGGCCTTACGCTGTCCAGGAAGCGGTGGCAGGTGTCTCGTAGCTTCGGAACAGGGAGAGGAGGAAGGGTGTCTTGAACGGCATAGAGGCTCCTTGGTCGCCTCCCCCGAAGCCATCGCTCAAAGGCGATCCACTGATACAGGCGGTGAGACAAGAGAAAGATAAACAAGATGATCGACACAACCTTCCACAGAATCCATACGCATCCTAGATACAGCCTTTGTCGGAGTTGAATGCTGGAGCTTGTTTTCAGCCCTCCAATCTACTCCAATCAGCCGATCCTCTCAAATCTCAACAGACACATTCAACCTTTCCATGCTCCTTGTACAGCCATGCGCGGTGCCGAAGTAGAAAACGCATCAACAGCCTGTGACATCGATGATTTCTAACCCTGCTTGGAAAGTAATAGCAAACCGGCCAGGCGATAGGTAGCTTGTCACAAGAATGACGGAGGCAACCAAGCTTGTGCACGCCAACCCAAGGCTGTTGCAACAGCAGAATACATCAATGATATGTGAAGCATACATCCCGTGAGGACTCTCTATTCGAAGAATACATCTCCTTGACATGTAAGGGAAACTCGGGTCGCATCGAATTGTTTTGCAGAAGATACAACACACACCACAAGAATGTATGACAATAGTGCTCGATGTTCATCTGATAGGCCTTGGGGCTGTAATACAGCTGACAGGAAGCAGAGCCAAGTACTCAAGGAGAGAAATAAACGTCACAGAGCTGGAGTATTCCACTTTCACAGAGCAGCTGGTTGGCCAAGTGCACAAGCACACAACATGCAGCATATCAGAGAAGCATGCGCTACAACGACATGCGCGCACACACAGTGCAGCGGGAGATGGACATGAAACCGATGCTAGTTCAACCCTCCATCGCTCACCGTGAGCCGCGAGACAGACCCCGCCATGCCATCGGCATTGCACTGGCGGGGGTTCCGTACGTAGGGTGGGGGTGGGAGCCATGTATCTAGGGGGTGGTGTAGGTACAGCAAAGGGGTCATGAATATTTGCAGGGGTGGTACAGGGGTAGTTTTCAGGTACGCAGTTGAAGGGGAAGGAAAATTTTCAGGTCAAAAGGAGGGGTACTTTGAGGAAAAGTAGGGGTGGACCGAAACATCAGTAATAGTGAATCAGGGGGTATAGAGGGGTAGGGGTACTTCTATCTCAACCAAGGGTGGGTAGAAGGTTCTTGAAACTGGAGTAAACTAGGTAGGGGGTGGTCCGAGATGTTTACACGGGTGTTTATGGGGGAAATCGTGGGGTAGTTGCACCTTGAGGTAGGGTCCAATTTGCAGTAAATCGGGGGGTAGTGAATCTGTACATCACCGGTCATTTGAATAAGAACATTCAGGGTGGGGGTACCAAGAACCCTCACTGAAGGGATGCATCTAACGACCAGACGAGGGAGGGAGGGAGGGAGGGAGGGAGGGAGGGAGGGAGGGAGGGAGGAGGGAGGGAGGAGGAGGAGGGA